AGATTCTCCCTTACCATTAGGGACAGTTTCTCCATGCGGTCCCGGAGTTCCAGAATGTATGGCACGATGGGGGTTCCTTCCTGCTCTGTCTCTCCCTCCCAGTGTCCTCTAATGAGATCCAGGGGTCCGCGGACCCTTCTCCCATAGAGTAGATCAAAGGAGAGAACCCAGTAGATTCCTGGGGCACCTCTCTGTATGCAAATAACAGATGAGGCAGGAATCGCTCCCAGTCTCTGCAAGTGTCAGTAAAGGTCCTCAACATCTGATGAGGGTGCCATTAAATCGCTTGCAGAGACCGTTAGTCTGTGGGTGATAAGGTGAGCTAAGCAGTGGTTTAATGCCGCACACCTTCCACAGCTGCTGGGTGAGCACAGCGGTAAACTGAGTTCTCTGGTCGGAGAGAATCTCCTGAAGGAACCCGACCCTAGTAAAAATCTTAACCAGGGCATCAGCCACTGTCTCTGCCTCTATATTAGACAGCGCTACTGCCTCTGGATAACGTGTGGCATATACCTCTTCCCGGATGGACTAGCCCTGGCCAGTGGACCCACAATGTCAACGGCTATGCGGGAAAAGGGTTCCCCAATGATAGGCATAGATATAATACGAACAGATGTAACCTGGGTGCTAAATAGTTTTCAAAATTGTTTTCAAAATTGCTTCACACTCTGGTGTAATCCCAAAACTCCACCAAAAAGAGAAAGTAATGTGTGCTAGTGAGTGGAGCAATTTATACCATATATAAGACAGAAGAAAGAGTATATATATACAAACTGGTTTCGATTTTAAGTGTAACTTCCAGCAATAACGGTATATATGTAAAGAAAAAAGGGAAAAAAAGCAATGATAGTGCAGATTGTATAAAAAATATATAAGCATATATACTTATAACAATTCATAAATTGTGAAGTATCACTTTAAGAAATATTTGGTGAAACCCCAATAGGAAAAAGCTGGCATAAATTTATTATCTGCCACATGCAGAAAAAGCAGTACATATATAAATAAAATAGAATAATAAAAAATGATGATAAAAAATAGGGTGACAAGCCCCTTACTAGATAAGGTGGTGAGTTTGACACATATATGTCAACTCACTATCAGAGTTCAATCATTAGGGTGGTAGGCTGCTCGTCCGGCGTTCTTCCTGTTCGGCTGCTAGAGAATCTCCTTGTGTATTGTTTGCTGCCAGAAAACAAACGCCTCCGGACTCCGTGGTCTGTAAGCTCCTCCCCCTTTGTATGACGTCAACGCGTTTCGCCAATCGGCTTCCTCAGGACGTGCTCACAACCTTCATCTTGGTTGTGGGCTTAAATAGGGCAACAATCCCTCATGATTGGTTTATCACTAATTCAATTGAAAAAGTCCAATTGTTCAATTAAATTAACTAAATATCTTGACATAAAGTTTAATGGGACTTGGATTCAAATCTACAGCTGTCATTAAAGACTCATTTAAGACTCTTTAAAGGATTGTTCATGGCAGAAAAATAAATAACATGGCAAAATTAAACAGCAAAAAGGCATTGATAAAATCACAAAATCACAAAGATACACAGCAGAAAAAAAAAAAAATAACATGGCAAAATTGAACAGCAAAAAGGCATTGATAGAATCACAAAATCACAAAGATACACAGCATATTAATATTGATTAAGATTTAAATTTAGTTATGATTTAAAGCAATATTGCCTAAAAAGGATAAAAAGAGAGAACTATTAATTGGCATATCTCAAAACTTACTCTTATTGTAGTTTTGGCAAACACAATATAATAGATAAAACATGAATAAAATGTAATAATAATTAGAATCAACAGTGGTAATTATTTATCAGAGAGTGTCCCAGTGGGAAAGGTGCATAACAAAGTGCAATCACAAAAAAGTGCAATCACAAAAAGACTTATCATCCATATAAATGTGAACAATATAATTGTGAAACAAAATAGGAATAGAACTGAGAGCATGAAAATCTGAGGTTCAAAAAATAATTGATGAATTGGAAAAAATTGATAAGTTTAAAAAAAACAATTAATTTAAAAATGCTTTTGAAAAGCAGTTATAAAACATTGAAGGATAAAAGTGTATATTTAAAAAAATTAATTTAATTAAAAGTATATGGCTTCCTGAGGTTCCTATTTAGTCTCCCATACAAGTACTAAGCAGGCCCAAGTCTGCATGACTTCTGAGATCTGACGAGATCAGGCACTTTCAGACTGGTATGTCCGTAGGCTATAAGTAATTAAAAAATGTATTCATATAAAATGAAAAATATATAAAAAAATATATATACATATGATTCATTATTTTAAAAAAATGGCAAATTTCAAAGTCATTGTTCAGGCCATATGGAACCATAGTATTTAAAGTAAAAATCCATTGCATCTCAGCCTTCCCTATTTTTTCTATGAAATCCCCTCCCCTCCATGTTCTCGAGATTCGTTGGATTGCAATAAAACATAATTGTGTAAAATCAGCCTGATGGTGTTGTGCAAAGTGTGCTGACACTTGGTGTAGCGCATATTTCCTCTTTATGTTATAGACATGCTCACCTATACGTGTGTATAACGGTCTCGTCGTTCGTCCTACATAATGTAGACCACACGTACAGGTAAGTAGGTATATAACGTTTTTGGAACTACATGTTATACCTTCCTTTATTCGGTATGTGATATTATTGACAGTAAAATCCTTAACATGTTGCTTTTTACTTCCTATTTTTTTGCACGTACTACAATACCCACATCTAAAAAAAACTGTTGTTGATTTAAAAAATTCTCCTGTTGGTGTGGTTCATCTAAAACATTTTTAACTAAAATTGTATTTAAATTGGGAACTCCTTTATGTATAATTGTAGGTGTATCTGTTAAAATATCATTCAAAATGGGATCATCACTGAGTATTGGCCAATGTTTATTAATAATATTACGCACTTTATAATTATGTCCTCCCGAGAACTGACATATAAATGGGATATTCGGCACCGTATTATTTTTCTTCTTCTCCTTATACTTTAAAATCTCATTTCTTTCTAATTTGTCTACTTTTCTTTTAGCTTTATTTAAAAAACCTTCCTTATACCCACGTTCTTTAAAATCTTTAATAATCTTTTGGCTTTGTTCTAAAAAAATTATTTCTTCTGTGCAGTTTCTTTTCATCCTAATTAATTGACTGCTTGGCACATTATTTAGCCATGGACTAAAATGGCAACTTGTGTGTTGGATGTAGCTGTTCACATCCACTGGCTTAAAGAAAGTTTTTGTTTTTATTTTATTATTCTCTATATATATTGTGAGATCCAAAAAATTAATCTCCCTATTACTGACTTCCGAAGTTAATTGTATACCCCATTGGTTTGAATTGAGTATTTCCATAAATTTATGGAGTGATTCTTCTCCACCCTTCCAAATTATAATGAGATCGTCTATGTATCTTTTATATAGCACCAAGTTCGACCCCCCGCCATAGCCCTCCTCAATATGGATATATTCCCAATAAGCCATAAAGAGATTGGCGTAGCTGGGGGCGAACTTGGTGCCCATAGCCGTGCCGCATAGTTGAAGATAAAAATCTCCCTGAAACCAAAAGTAATTATTCTCTAAAATAAGAGATATCGATTTTAAAATAAATTCAATTTGTTGTGGTGGATATGAAGAGGAAAATTTTAGAAAATGCTCTACTGCCTGTACACCTAAATCATGTTTTATACTCGTATAAAGGGAAGCCACATCTGCTGTGACTAATAAATAGTCATCTTCCCACGTAATTTCACTTAATATCTGAAGTATACTTGTAGTATCTTTTAGATACGAAGGTGTTTTTTGAACCAGTGGTTGGAGCATATAATCTATATACTCAGATAGTCTGCATGAAACCGAATTAATGCCCGAAACTATCGGACGGCCAGGGTTTTTTTTGATACTTTTGTGGACCTTAGGTAGGAAGTAGAATACTGGGATTTTTTCAAATTTTATATTTATATAATCCCTTTCAGATTTACTTAGGATGCCTGTTTCAAATCCTTGGGTTATTAATAAATTAAATTTCTTTTTTATATCATTTGTTGGGTCCTTTTTTAATTTTAAATAAGTTACCTGATCACCTAACAAATTATAGGCTTCCTCAAGATAGTATTCTTTATCCATAATTACTGTGCCCCCCCCCCCTTGTCTGCCGGCTTAATAACTATTTCCTTGTCTTGTCTCAATTCTTTTAATGCTTTTTGTTCCTGTAATGAAAGATTTAATTGATATTTATTCAATGGTTTTAATCTTTGGATTTCTTTATTCACTATATTTTGAAAAGTGGTCATTTCGTCTGATGAATGCCATTTTGGAAAAAACACAGATTTTTCTTTTAAATTACTGTGTATAACTTCATCGTATAAATAAGCCTCTGACTTTAAAGGAGTTAAAATATTGTTTGCTTCTTTATAAAAATGTTTTTTTAAACATAGCTTTCTCATAAATGTTTGTAAATCCACGTAAAATTTAAATTTGTCTATTCCCTTAGTAGGCGCAAATTTTAAGCCTTTTGCTAATAGTTCTAACTGTTCCACTTTTAAAACCTTTTTAGATATATTAAAAATACCTTTAGGGATTTGAGTTATACTTGTTTTTTGTGATTGCTCTTGTTTTCCTGGTTCGTTAATTAAATTCTTTCTATTTTTCTTATTTACTCTCTTTCCCCCTCTTCTCCTTCCACTAATTTTTTCTTGAACCTTTTGTTTAAAGGTGGAGGAGATTGTATAAACCTCTTCCTGGTTCTCCTCTCTAAAAAAGGTGAAGGAGAAGAGTGGTTATTTTCATTTGTCAATGCCTCAAATCGATTATGCGTAAAAAGAGAGTTTTCTTCAAGTGTATTATCTCTACCATGATTTCTTTTGTATTGGTAACTATTATGTTGGTAATTTTGGCTTCTCTCATTTTGCCACTTATTTACTGGGGGACGTTCATAATTCCTTTTTATTCCCATATTATTATTATGTCTAGGAGGAAATGATGATTGTTGTTGGGTGATTCCATTATAAGAGGTGTGGAGATGGACAATGGTGGTCTTGTGAGGTGTCTTCCCGGAGCTACTGCTCACAGAGACAGGAGACGTATCTGTAATATTGTTAAGCAAGCAAAGCAGGAAGGGGAATTGGATGTACTTGTCCATCTAGGGACAAATGACTTGGCTTGCAATGAGGTTTCAGAGATTAAGGAAGTTTTTAGTGTTTTTGCCAATGATATACGGCAGGTTGCTTCCACACTGTCATTCTCTGAAGTTCTGCCTGTGCATAACACTCAGAACGACAGGCGGATGCGTATTAGGGACTTTAATTTGTGGCTTGGTGAATGGTGTCGGGAGCAAGGATTTGGCTTTATTTCTCATGGTAGCTCTGTTTGGAATGGAGATAAGCTGTACAAAAAAGATGGTTTGCATCTTTCTCAAAAGGGAACAAATGTTCTCAGTGAGCAGTTCAGAGGTTTTGCTAGGATGTATTTAAACTAGGAGGGGGGGGCAAAAGGGTGATAAAACATCAATCCAATTGTCCCCCAAAACAAGGACAGAAGGTGCCTGTAGCAAGTGTGTTAAAAAATGATAAGCTTAGAGTCATGTCTACAAATGCTCGCAGTTTAGGGAATAAGATCCATGAACTTGTGGCAATAATGGCAACTGATAGTGTAGATTTAGTCGCTGTTACTGAGACATGGTACAATGAGAAAAATGACTGGGACGTAGCAATACCAGGGTACTCTTTATATAGGAAAGATAGGGAAGGCAAGAAAGGGGGAGGGGTGGCCTTGTATGTGAAGGATAGCATAAAATCTAGCCTAATAAAAGTTAGTGAGGCAAACATAGAGTCCGTTTGGGCTACGTTAGAATTTGGTAATCACACAGTAACTCGTGTAGGTGTGATTTATAGGCCCCCTGGACAAATTGAAGAGTTAGATAATCTACTAGTTGAGGAAATAGCTAAAATGACAATGAAGGGGAAGTTATCATCATGGGTGACTTTAATCTTCCTGATGTAAATTGGAAAACAAAATTAGCTACTTGTGCCAGGAGCACACATATTCTAAACTCCCTACTGGGGTTGTCTCTAAAACAAGTTGTTGAGGAGCCAACTCGTAAAGAGGCCATACTAGATTTAGTGTTAACAAATGGAGATTTGGTATCAGATGTTACTGTAGGTGAAAGTTTAGGATCCAGTGATCATCAGTCAGTGTGGTTTAATAAAAGAACAGTGACTGAGTCACACCACACAAAAACAAAAGTTTTAGACTTTAGAAAAACAGACTTTTCTAAAATTAGAATATGGGTAGAGGAGTCATTATCAGACTGGAGCAATTTAAATGAAGTCCAAGAAAAATGGGATTATTTAAAAGTTGCACTATTGAAGGCAACAGAAAATTGCATTAGGCTTGTCAGTAAAAGCAAAAAATTCAAGAAACCACTGTGGTACTCCGCAGATGTGGCCAAAATAGTTAAAAACAAAAAGTTAGCATTTAGGAATTATAAAAAACCCAGAGTGAGGAAGACAAAATGATCTATAAGATTAGGCAGAAAGAGGCTAAGCAAGTTATAAGAGCTTCCAAATCACACACAGAAGAGAAAATAGCACAGTCAGTAAAAAAGGGGATAAAACATTTTTTTAGATACATAAATGAGAAAAGAAAAGTAAAACAAGGATTAGTTAGATTAAAAACAAAAGAAGGAAGGTATGTAGAAGAAGATAAAGGTCAGGCTGACTGCCTCAATGAATATTTTTGTTCTGTATTTACAGTAGAAAATGAAGGAAAGGGACCTCAGTTGAGAAAAAGGATAAATGAGTAATTTATTACACGTGAGTTTACAGAGGAAGAGGTTCTATTTCAACTGTCAAAAGTAAAGACAAATAAGTCAATGGGACCTGATGGAATACACCCAAAGCTATTAAAAGAGCTTAGTGGTGTACTAGCAAAACCATTAACAGATTTATTTAACCAATCATTGTTAACAGGAGTAGTCCCAGAAGATTGGAAGTTAGCGAATGTTGTGCCCATTTACAAGAAAGGTAATAGGGAGGAGTCGGGCAACTATAGGCCAGTAAGCCTTACTTCAGTAGTGGGGAAAGTGATGGAAACCATGTTAAAGGATAGGATTGATGAACATCTAAAAACACATGGATTTCAAGATCAGAGACAACATGGGTTTACTTCAGGGAGATCATGCCAAACAAATCTTATTGATTTTTTGATTGGGTAACTAAAATTATAGATCAGGGTGGTGCAGTAGACATTGCTTACCTAGATTTCAGTAAGGCTTTTGACACTGTTGCACATAGAAGGCTTATCAATAAACTGCAATCTTTAAGTTTGGATTCAAATATTGTTGAATGGGTAAGGCAGTGGCTGAGTGACAGGCAACAGAGGGTTGTAGTTAATGGAATATATTCGAAGCTTGGACTTGTCACCAGTGGGGTACCTCAGGGATCTGTACTTGGACCCATTCTCTTTAATATTTTATTAGTGATATTGCAGAAGGTCTTGATGGTAAGGTATGTCTTTTTGCTGATGATACTAAGATATGTAACAGGGTTGATGTTCCAGGAGGAATAAGCCAAATGACAAATGATTTAGGTAAACTAGAAAAATGGTCAGAATTGTGGCAACTGACATTTAATGTGGATAAGTGCAAGATAATGCATCTTGGGCGTAAAAACCCAAGGGCAGAGTACAGAATATTTGATAGAGTTCTAACCTCAACATATGAGGAAAGGGATTTAGGGGTGATTATTTCTGATGACTTAAAGGTAGGCAGACAATGTAATAGAGCAGCAGGAAATGCTAGCAGAATGCTTGGTTGTATAGGGAGAGGTATTAGCAGTAGAAAGAGGGAAGTGCTCATGCCATTGTACAGAACACTGGTGAGACCTCACTTGGAGTATTGTACACAGTACTGGAGACCGTATCTTCAGAAGGATATTGATACCTTAGAGAGGGTTCAGAGAAGGGCTACTAAACTGGTTCATGGATTGCGGGATAAAACTTACCAGGAAAGGTTAAAGGATCTTAACATGTATAGCTTGGAGGAAAGACGAGACAGGGGGGATATGATAGAAACATTTAAATATATAAAGGGAATCAACACAGTAAAGGAGGAGACTATATTTAAAAGAAGAAAAACTACCACAACAAGAGGACATAGTCTTAAATTAGAGGGACAAAGGTTTAAAAATAATATCAGGAAGTATTACTTTACTGAGAGGGTAGTGGATGCATGGAATAGCCTTCCAGCTGAAGTGGTAGAGGTTAACACAGTAAAGGAGTTTAAGCATGCGTGGGATAGGCATAAGGCTATCCTAACTATAAGATAAGACTAGGGACTAATGAAAGTATTTAGAAAATTGGGCAGACTAGATGGGCCGAATGGTTCTTATCTGCCGTCACATTCTATGTTTCTATGTTTCTATGTTTCTATGATCCATGAAAATCTTTCCTAACATTTTGAGGATACGTCCTCCATGTATTGTTGTGTATAGAATTCTCTCTTCTATTAAAAAATGGTTTCTTCTTAGTGTATGCTGTCTTTGTTTTATAGTCGACTATGTCTCTTTTATATTTTTTCTGTTTTACTTCTACCACTTCATATTCTAACTTATCTAATCTCTCTCCAAGCTTGTATGATAATTCAATAAACTCTTTTTCTGTTTTCAATCTTTCACAATCTTTCTTTAAATCAGTAATTTCAGAGTCTAATTTTCTCAATGTAAGTTGCCCTCTCTTAATAATGAAGGTCATAGTTTGAATTGAAAGATTGTCCATTAGGGCATACCACTCATCCATAAAATCCAAATCTTCCCTTTCAAATGTGGGAAGTTTATCAAATCTTAAGCCTCTAGGGACTATTTTTCAAAAGCATTTTTAAATTAATTGTTTTTTTTAAACTTATCAATTTTTTCCAATTCATCAATTATTTTTTGAACCTCAGATTTTCATGCTCTCAGTTCTATTCCTATTTTGTTTCACAATTATATTGTTCACATTTATATGGATGATAAGTCTTTTTGTGATTGCACTTTTTTGTGATTGCACTTTGTTATGCACCTTTCCCACTGGGACACTCTCTGATAAATAATTACCACTGTTGATTCTAATTATTATTACATTTTATTCATGTTTTATCTATTATATTGTGTTTGCCAAAACTACAATAAGAGTAAGTTTTGAGATATGCCAATTAATAGTTCTCTCTTTTTATCCTTTTTAGGCAATATTGCTTTAAATCATAACTAAATTTAAATCTTAATCAATATTAATATGCTGTGTATCTTTGTGATTTTGTGATTCTATCAATGCCTTTTTGCTGTTCAATTTTGCCATGTTATTTTTTTTTTTTTCTGCTGTGTATCTTTGTGATTTTGTGATTTTATCAATGCCTTTTTGCTGTTTAATTTTGCCATGTTATTTTTTTTTCTGCCATGAACAATCCTTTAAAGAGTCTTAAATGAGTCTTTAATGACAGCTGTAGATTTGAATCCAAGTCCCATTAAACTTTATGTCAAGATATTTAGTTAATTTAATTGAACAATTGGACTTTTTCAATTGAATTAGTGATAAACCAATCATGAGGGATTGTTGCCCTATTTAAGCCCACAACCAAGATGAAGGTTGTGAGCACGTCCTGAGGAAGCCGATTGGCGAAACGCGTTGACGTCATACAAAGGGGGAGGAGCTTACAGACCACGGAGTCCGGAGGCGTTTGTTTTCTGGCAGCAAACAATACACGAGGAGATTCTCTAGCAGCCGAACAGGAAGAACGCCGGACGAGCAGCCTACCACCCTAATGATTGAACTCTGATAGTGAGTTGACATATATGTGTCAAACTCACCACCTTATCTAGTAAGGGGCTTGTCACCCTATTTTTTATCATCATTTTTTATTATTCTATTTTATGTATATATGTACTGCTTTTTCTGCATGTGGCAGATAATAAATTTATGTCAGCTTTTTCCTATTGGGGTTTCACCAAATATTTCAGGCATAGATATAAGCCAAGCTTTTGGGTGATCCCCCCGTTTACTTTGACAAGTTGCCGGTGTTGCTGTCGATTATCCCGGTGGGCTGCTTGGACAGGGTCTGCCTCGTGCAGGATGCCCCAGCATTCCTCCTCCTCTACGCAGTGGGCAGCAAGCGGAGGGGGTCGTTGGTTTCCGCTGGTTGTTCTCCTCCAAGACTGGGCCTGGTTAGCATTATTC